CCACTAACTAAAACACTAGTTTGAGATGGGACTTGTCAATTTTTCATTATTTTATTAGAAAGAAAACCACAATCATAAAACCCAATGGGAGTCTTAGGAAAGTACTTCAAATGTGGCATTTTAGGATTCTATCATATTCTTAATAACACTTTGCTCTGTGATGGCAGAGGTGGAGATTTTGCAGTTATGCCAAAATCTTACAACGTAAAGAAATCTTCAGCCAACTGCACATCAAAAAGATTCTACTAATTACTCCAGGAATGTATTTTATTCCTTTAGAAGTATCTTGCATCTGTCACATGCATCTGGAAAGGCACAGTTTTTCTTTGTTTAGTAGTAAAGCCAGATGAAAATTTTATTGGTCAATTTCACAATTTATATATCTTTAAAATAAATTGAAATTGTATAGCAAGCGTGAAATCCAGTCTCATAAAACATATACAATTGATTAGTTTATATCTGTATTTTTTTTTTCAGACAGAAGTTAAATCTATTTTTGAAAGAAATTACTGGGTGAAAAAAATACAGAGTGGTTAATTTGGGGGAAATAAATTTACTGTCACCTTTCCTAGGTGATTTTACTTTCTTGATCATTCAATTAAACTTCTGGAATTTATTTTTAAGTAAAACTGTTTGTCTATTAAAATAAAATATGGATGATTTATTTAATCAACATGGTGGCTATGAATGAATATAAATTATTCTTGGTAGTTCTTTGGTGGCACATTTGAATCAATTATTACAACATTGGGTAAATGGAATTAGCCTCTTGTATTGAGAATTACAGATCTTAGCATATTTTAAAGTCCTCGGAGATGATGCATAGCTTTCATTGATTTATTGATTCTCTGATTTTGAAAAGACGATTTATGTGTCCCTGCATCTTTGAAGGTATCAGAGATATCCCAAATAATTACACTAATTTGAAAATCAACTTGAAAGACTAAAGTCAAGTGAAAAATGGATTCACAGTGGTTGAGATATTCCACTGATTAAAAAAAAAATATTTAAAGGATGGGGGAATCAGTATCTAGACAAATTTGAATGCTTTGCAATGTGGTCTAAAAATAAAAAGAAATTCTTTAGTTTAATTTGTGGGTATTTTTTCAGCTTCAATTATTGGATGCAATAACAGCAGAGACTTTTTTGGCCTGTTATTGGATGAACATGTTAATCAATGAATGTGTCAAAAAACCTTCAAACTTAAAATCTATGTTTCAGATTTAAAATGGTTTTTACATATAATTTTACATAAATACTTAATTGGGACTATAACATATTAATTTTTGATACTCTCTCTACTTTTCCTGTAGTCACGCTACACTAACCATTTTTCAGTTGACTTTAGACTTTCAAGTAAACAATCTTGATTATATTCTTTATATTTTCTTTTCTACAAGCTCTGATGATAGCACTAAGCACACTTATGAAGCAGTCTCATTTTTTTATAGAAATATCCTAGTACCATAATTTATTTTTATATTTTTTGTTTATTGCTCAACAATTATTTCAAAATACCTGCCACTTAACTTACATATTTCTAATTTTTTTCTTTCAATGTGAATGTACAGTGATATTTCTTGACATGAATAAGTATGCCTCAATTTATTTATATATTTTCCCAGTAATGTTATATATTTTGTTTCCAGATGTTTTGGGCACTATCAACAAGGCTGTGATAAACTTCCTTGTTCATACATATATATATATTTTTTTTTGTATAAGTGCTTTCATTTCTGTGAATAGATTTCTAGGATTTTGCCTTTTAGAATAAAAAGTATATACATACATTTTAAATAAATTTGGTGGATTTACTTCTCAAAACAGGTGATACTTTTCCATCTTCTTCAGCAATAAACTCAAGTAACATTTTGTGTTGATAATCTTTTTGCCATAGCAACAAATATCCAAGAAAAACAACTCAGAGAAGAAAATATTTACTTTGGCTCCAATTCCAAAGGTTTCTTTTCATTGTCAACTGGTTCCATGACTTTGGGCCTGAGATGAGGAAGAACATCACGGTGGAAGCCTCATCTCTGAACATTGTTGCATTGGGCATCAAGTATCAACACATGAGATGTTGGGGGATGCTTTATATTCAGACCATAACATATTATTTCTCTACTTCTATCAAACATATAATTTTACATTAATACCTAATTGGGACTATAACATATTAATTTTTGTATGCATACTTGTATATATATGTATGCATATATGTATACATATATGTGTGTATATATAAATACATATATATACACACACATATATATATACATATATTTATATATATATATACACACACCCCCCCCCACCCACACACACACACACACACACACACACATATATATATATATATATATACATATTAAATAGTATAACAAGAGAAAGCAAATATTCAGGAAATAACTAATCATTTTCATTACCAAGAGAGGTTTTTATTCTTCGCTACCAATGTCCAAAGCCCAAATATAAGCAATTATAATGTTAATAAGATACATGTTAATTATAATGAATAATACAAAGTTGAACCACATGATAGAGTGTATTTGATAATTTTCCACCTAAAATATGGCAATTTTTGGATCACTCAAACATTTCTATGGCATTTTCCAGATTTACATTATCATTATAGAATTTTAATAATGATAAATAGATTTACTGAATATTTATTGGGCTCTATGCCAGACACAGAACCTGATGTACTCATCAGGTAAGTGTCAAGTTTTTTCCAGGTCCTATTTTTGGCATTCTTTCTCCAAGTTTCATTCATTTTCAGGCTCCAGTCTTGCTCTAGTTATAGCTTTCCTCCTCTCTCTTTTTAACCACATTATCTCTTAGACATAATAACCACCCTGCATATATTTTTTAAAAGTTAATTCAGATTACATAGTATTAAGGTTCTTCAGACAAACATAAACAATAGAATAATAGATTATGTATTATATTGTGTTAGTCAGCTTTGAGTCACTGTGACCAAATGCCTGACAAGATTAATCTAATAGAAAAAAATGTTTATTTTACAGTTTCAGAGGGTCAGTTAATTATCAACAAACTCTATTGCTCTAGGCCTTCAGTGCTCTATCATGCAAAAGGGTGTCATAGAGAAAAATCTGCTCAGATCATGACACCCTAGAAGCAGAGTGAGAATGCGGAATCACGGGCAAAATATAATCCCCAAGGGCACATCTCTAGTGATCTACTGCCTCTACCTATAATCCACCTACTTATAATCTTCACCCAGTAACACATAAATGAATTAATTAAAATGAATTAATTCATTAATCAGGTTCTAACTTTCATAATCTAATCATTTTATCTCTAAACATTCCTGCCTTGAGCTTTTGGGGGGACACTTCATATTCGAACCATAACATTTCATCCAGGGTCCTGAAATGCTCATGACCATCTCACAATGCAAATTGCATTTAGTCAATATCTAAGAGTCACTATTGTCTTAATAGTTCCAACATTATCCAAAAGTCCAAGTTCAAAATCTCTTCTGAGTCTCCAAGCAAACACTTGGCTTTGAGCTTCTGTAAAGATAGAAAAAAAAATTGCAAATATCCAACATACAATGGCACAGAGTAAATATTTATAATCCAAAATGGAAGAAGAGGGTAATGGAAAGAAGGGATGACACTGAACCAAGCCTAAGCCCAGATGACATATCCTATAGCCCCATGTCTAGTATCTAGGGGAGCACATGGAGGTGAAGTGGGATCTCCAAAAGGTTTGGACATCCCTAGTTCTATGGCCTTGCTGGCTGTACCCTACATGACTTCTTTCTTGGATTGGCTCTGTTCTCAGACAGCAGTTTTTCTTGCAGATGATCCACATTACTAGCATCTCTTAATCCCAGGGGTGTCCACTGCAGCTTTGACTTCATTATCACAACTTCATGCATTGCCCTGAAGACTGCCTACAGGATTCTAACTCTGCTACTCTTTGCCTGAACTCCTACCTTCCTTTGAAGTCCCAGAAGAAGCCTTCATGACCACATAATTCTATCCTAAATCCTTCAGAACCAGCAACACATGGATGATGCCAAAATCTGCCACCAATTCAAGTGGTAGCTGACCCTTCTTGGTCCATGTCTTCAGAAGCTTCTGAGTGCCTAGGTGACTGATCACGTTGAAATAAATCCTCAGGAAATAACTTCTTAGAACCCTTGTATTTACAGGATGTCCCTAATTCTCCCAAATGAGTTTTTGCCTTTTACCCATGAGGTTATGATTAATTTGGTCCTGCTTATTCCTCAGATAACTTCAAATCATCTTTCATGTTGTCTCTTCGACAAGTACTTAGTTTCTCTTTAGCGGCAGTAATCTCTTCAGCAACTACACCTTCTTTGGCCCCAATTTTATACATGCTTCTTTTTTGGTTAAACTGCAAATTTTTACACTTTTTACCCTCTGATTTATGCTCACAATTCTCACTGGAAATTTGGCTAAAGATTGTATCAATATCCTTGTCACTGTTTGAGTGCGGTGCTACCTTGAAACCTCCTCCCTCACATTAATTAGTCCACCATTTTTAAATTCAACCTCAGATTCTCAGGACATGGACAACATGTAGACAAGTTTATCTGTCGTCGTAATGTAATATGTATGTCCTCTAGTCAAACTCCTACTAAACTCCTCCTTCCCTCTGAAAACTTATGAGCACAATCTTCACTCAGCATTCCTGTTCATATTCTGGTGTTCTGAGCTCCCACCAAAACCAGTCATTACATGCTTGCTTACAAGGTTCTCTGGCTTCTCCAGCCTGTATCTCTGTAATTTTCCAAAATCCTCCTGCAAACCAGTTCCAACGGCTTCGGTACCACATGTTCAATCACAGTAAAAGATGAGATCTCATTTCTGATATCAGTTACTATGCTTGTCAGCCTAGTGTTCCTGTGACCAAAATACCTAGGACATATTTATTATGAGCTCATAGTTTCAAAGTTTCAGTTCATGGTCAGCCAACTCTAGTGCTCTGGGTCTGAGGTGATGGCAGTACATCAAGGCTTAATGAAACGGCAGAGGAAAGCTGTTCAGCTCATGGCAACAAGGATGTAAGAGAGAGAGAGAGAGAGAGAGAGAGAGAGAGAGAGAGAGAGAGAGAGAGAGAGAGGAGCCAGAATATAGTGAAGAGACAAAATATAATCTCCAAGGGTAGATCCCCAGTGAACAACTGTTTTCAGCCAAGCCCCCACCTGCCTACAGGTACTACCCAGGTATCTATTTATCTCTATCTATGTGTTTATAAATTTGTCTATGAATTTATTATATGGTATTGGCTTATGAGATTACAGAGACTGAAAATTCCTACAATCTGCCATCTGCTAGTGGGAGACCCAGGGTAACCAGTAGTATAGTTTCAAGGCCTGAGATACACAGAGCCAGTGATATGGATTTTCTATGTTTGAAGGCTTGAGAACCAGTAGCAAATAGGGCCAGTTTCTCAGCTCAACATTCAGAGAACAAAATCAACTGGCTTCCAACTCTTGGTTTTCAAACCCTCAGTGGATTGAATGAAGCCCATTCACATTAGTGAAGGCAATCTGGTTTACTCAGCCTGCTTATGTAAATACAAACTATCCAGGAACACTCTCACAGACAGTTCTAGAAATGAAACTTAACCAGATATTCCAGCATTGTGTAGTCAAGTGAAGTTGACATATATTATTAGCCATCACCTATGTAGAATGTTTTTGTCAAAAGATAAGCTAGATATTTCACTTCTCCCACATGTTGAAATTCCTGCAGTCATGATAGGAATGACAACCCATGTGGATGGGCATTTAGCCACTGATCCTGACACCATCAAACTTCAAGTTTGAAAACTCTGCCTAAGACAGTACCTACTCTTCATACCCCCATAAAAAGGATTAAAAGGGTGAATGAATATCACTAGCTACTTTTAATTCAGAATAATCTCCAAAGTAATGAGTGATATCAGCTAAGCTGAAACATATAATCAAAGCAGATTTTAGGAATTCATATTTAAACACAAATTAAGAAAAGCAAATAAATGTCAAATGAATGGCATGTGAATAAAGAAACCTGTCACGGGTTAGTAGAAATAACTGAAAAGCAGTGATAACATTATAATCAGGATGTCAACAGAGATAAATGCCATTTATACAGGTGAGAGGAAGCAAGATGACAGTTGGCAAAAATACTCAGTGCCTAAATGTCATGTGGTAATGATCCTTTTGACATCTTTGCCCAGAATCAAAGATAAAATCTCATTCATTGAATTTTATTAAATTTAAAAATACATGAGCATACTTTCTCTCGAGCTCCAACTTTTCATGTCTATTTATCATTTTTCCTATTAGTCCTCAGTGGACTAGAGAAGTGGTACTACTGTCTGATATTTATATATGTTCTTCACTATGAAATGTATATGTTCTTCATCATGAAATGTAATAATGCATGAAAATGCTAATTACTTGAAGTCTCAGGGACCTCGGAGGAAGAGAAAAGTAGGTCCTATAGTGAAATACGAACATACCAAAAATCTGGCTTTGCTATGGATCACAACTGTACTATGGGCATTATATGGTAGTGATTAGAAATTCAGATTCCTGGGTTCACATGCCCTTCACTGGCTAGATGATAAGCAATAAATTAGGGTAATCTTACTTTATTCTCCTCACCTGGAAAGGGATGTTAATACTAGCATGTATCTTATAGAGATAATAGTGAGGTTTTAAGGAGTCAATATCTATAATATTTAGAACAATGGTTTTTTATACTAAGCACTCACTGATTTTCATTGGTTGCATTTCATTGTCTGGGTAGATGTCATGGGTATTCCAATAAGAAATTGAAACTCAAAATTTAACAATGTGCCAATACCATCAACCAAGATAAAATCTAGAGTAGTGATAAAGAGAGGAGATCTTAGATCAGACCGAACCAGGCTCAAATTCTGACTTCTTTATTCTTCCACTGTAGGATCCTATTTGTTTTAGTCAGGGTTCCAGAAGGAAAGAGATGGTCTATGCATGGCAGGAATGAGGAGGGCTAGATGACAAAGTTTTCAAACATACAGCTAGGATGAAGGCAAGCCAAGGAGAAAGTGTAAAACATCGGGATTCAAAAACCTGTGGTTAATTCATTTTCTGGGTGAAGTGGCCAAAGGAGGAAGTGGCCATTCGAACCCACAGTGGCAAGGAGAGAGGGCTGTTTGCTAAACCATTACCAACTCTTTACTAGGACTTCACTCTCCAGATTCCTTCCTCCTATCATTGTCTTCCAATTGGGAACCCAGGCGGAAGCCAGGGGATAAGGAGGAGGCCCTCTGAAGTCCATGCAGACCTTCCACCTACAACAGAGAATAGAGGGTAGAAAGGTAGAGGTAACCCATGAGAGTAGAGAGACCATCTAGCACATTGTTTCACATCTAGGAGGCTCACCTGCACACAACCTCTAAACTCCATATCCTACATCAACCTTGAATTTTGTCTCTATGAATGTTGACTCTACTATTAAACTTTTGTGGGATTTATGTGGGCTCCCTCCATCACTAATATTCTGAGTCTTCTAAAGAAGAATGCATGATAAGGACTTGAACTCTCCTAAGGAAATCATACTATATTTAAACAAGGCATTGGAGTTATAAGAAGGCAAATGGCATATACTATTAGAAAGGTCTCTCCTAAAATATACTCCACTGATCATATAAATTGCTATGTAAAACGAAAACAGTGAGTAAAGCAAGCAAGAAAATCATCAAAAGATTCGTGGTCAAATTAGTTTGGAAACTTCTCTCTTCAACAAAGCAAAATTCCTATACTGAAGGACTTCTCAGATTTTTTTGATTTTGTTTCATTATTGTTCATCTCCCACATGCTTAGGTGGACCTAACTCTCTCAGTATATTTAATCTTGAAACTAAAAAAGAAAATTCCATAGAAAGACATAGCTCATGAGAAACATATACTATATATTTAGAATCAAATATCCTGAATTTTGTAATTTTGAACATTTATAAAAAAATATATAAAATATAGGATACAGTCACTATTCTTATTGTCATTCACTATACGGACGGACTTATTTGTCAAGCAGTTATTTTTACCAAGTGTCTATTGCTCACCTGTTGTGTTAGAGCTGAATTATCAACTCAAGGTATGCCAAGGAGCCATATAGAGTTAAGTAGTAGAATTTTAATTCTAACTTCTGACATCAGGAGAAAACTATTAAAATAGTTTTTCCTTCTTAGTAGAAGGAAAAGAGGAAGTTACAAAATAAATCTGAAGAGCCATGGTAACTGAAGAAGAATGGAGATAAAAGGGGCATAGTTTTCAAAGAAAAAAATGTAGTGAAACTATCTGTCCAAAATGACTTCACTATTTAAGAGACAGGAGGGTGGAAAGGCTATCTTCAGTTAGTAAATATTCATTCAGCCAACCAGTCAGAACTGGAATATTATTCTAAACTAGAGTTGTCTGTGGCTGTGCATTGTGCAGTGGTATTTTGGTATTAGGTAGCTGATACTAGGAACTATGCCAAGCAGATGTTTATTTGTGTACATCCCATGCACGTGCTGAAACACATTGGAGTACAGTGACCCAAGCAATCTGGGTAATTTATACACCTTAAAGAGGAACAGTTGTTGCTGTCATTGTTGTAGCTTCAGGGACTGTCTCCACATTTCCTGAGTATCTCTGGCCTAACTGAATAGAGCAGAATTATCATAACATTTATTTATCTAGAGCACATATTTGCGATAGCATTTGCCTTCTAAGTCATAGCCTCCAGCTCAGAGATGAGGATAAAAGGAACACCTAGCATGTGGGGAAAAATGCCTCAAGCAACAGTGCTAATGTCATGAGTCTGTATAAAAAGCCATCATGTCTTTAGAAGCTATTTAATTGATGCAGAAATTTTGAGCATTTTCATGATTGCTACAAAATAAAGAGGATATTGTCCACACTTTTTAAATTATATATATATATATATATATATATATATATATATATATATATATATATAATTTATATATACATTTAGCAGTACTGGAGATAGAACCTGGGGCACATTACCATGGCACTACCTCTCCAGACCTTTGTATTTTTTTTATTTTGAGACAAGTCCTCAAGAAATTGCCATGGATGGCCTCCAAATTTCGATTCTCCTGCCACAGTCCCCTGGGTCACTGGGATAACAGGTGTGTGCCACCACGCCTGGATGTTACACACACACATTGTGAATAACCAAAGGGAGACTTATGTCTAGGTATGAAATAGGAGAAGGGAAACTCCCCCTGTATGATATGTCTATGTTCAAACTATTAATATGTTGAAGAACCTAAGGGAGAGAAGTTTTCTTCTACTGTTAAGGAATGTTTTCCATTGATTTCATAATTGGATTTGATTTTTCTTAAAGTGGGGCTATTTTTGAGAGCTTGGTAAGAATACTTTTAAATATGGAATTTTTCCATTTTTTATAGAAAAACTTTCACTCTGGCTTATTCCTGCTATGTGAAAAAGAAGGGCAACTCTGCTGATATGTACATGGAACTAATGACAAACTTTTAAGAAGCAGCGACAGAACATATTCCTGTATTTGCATGAATGAAAATTCTTGGCATTATATGTTTTTTTTTTTTTTAAGTGATCTTCTAGGTCTTCGCCTGGAAAGGTCTGATTCTCTACAAACTCTACCGCATTGAACTTGAGAATTTTCTGCATTTTAAAAGAAAATCGAGTTTCATTTTTCAAGGAGATTTCAGGGTCACCAAGTTTGGTATTTGCACTTTCCTACTCTTCCCTCTATTCAATGAAACCGTACCAAGAAAATTTGACTCTTGGTCCCCCCACAGATGCACAGGCTTGCCTTTTAGAATCAAATTGCTGACATAAGGCAGGAGAAGTGACTCAAAGTCAAACCTCAAGAGTGAATGCTGATGTTCTGTCTTATGATCATCAACACCAAGGATGGGTAAAACGTTGAAAGGAAAGCAGCTGTAAACTTTGCTTTTGGAATCAGGAGAGACAACCCCCAGACTCCCTGACTTGATGGCGAAGAATCCTTGTCTTCAATGTCCAGCTTAGGTTCTCAGCTGGCTCTAGTGTGTGCACCTACACTAAGATATTTGACTCAATTCTCTAAAGAAAAGAGATCAGGCATTTCTGAAACAGCATATGCCTTTTTCTAACCATGCATATTCTGCCATTATTATTATTATTATCATTATTATTATTTTATTTAGACAATATAGCTAGTATGGATAAAGATTTTGGGGGTGCATTTCTTGGTTTTGCTGCAACTGACAAGCATGGAGGAGTTTCTTTAATCTTGTCTTTCTGTGACTACAATGGAAGCACCTACCTTGCAGGGTAGTGGTAAGGATTGAAACCTAATCAGATCAGGGCCTGCCCCCTGATCAGTGCTATGGGAGTGGGGCTTTTACTACAAATACTTTTGGTAATTGATTTTGCTCTTTCTAATTTTGTTTTCATCTGTAGTCACTAAATGAGAAAGTCCGATTAGATTTTGGATTCTGTTTTCTCATCAGTAAAATGAGAATGTTGTACCATATAAAGCTAAGAACTTTAAATTGTTACTCTGAGACCCAAACTATGAATCTTCATGTACTGATATTTTATATTTGTAGTTTGGAAGTGTTTATGCAATATTGCAATTACATATGATAATCTTTTCATTACTTAATAGAAAATATGTTATTTAAGTAATTCTTATATATTTATTGAGCATTTACTATGTGTCAGATATGGGTACTAGATATTGAGAATTTGGCAACCATTTTTTTTTAAATTCTTAAGAGGCATAAAAATAGGAAAGAAAGAAATCAAAATATCACTATTTGATCCAATAGAAGATTTAACAAGCTCCACCAAAAAATGCTAGAACAAGTTCATCAAGTATCAGGATACAGAGTTAACCTGTAAACATTAATAGTTTACTTATATATCAACAATGAATCAGTAGAGAAAGAAATCAGGAAAACAATCCTATTCAAAATAGCCTCAAAAATAAAAATAAAATACCTAGCAATAAATATAATCAAGGAGTTGAAAAACCTATACAATGTAAACAATGGAACATTAAAGAAAATAATTGAATAAGTCACAAGAAGACGGAATGGCCACACTACCAAAAACAATAGATAGTCCATGTAATCCCCATCAAAATACCAGTGACATTCTTTACAGAACTAAAACAAAACAAAACAAAACAAAAAAACCCAAAAAGGCCCTAAAATTCATTCGAAAGAATAAAAGACCCAGAATAGCCAAAGCAATTCTAAGCCAAAATAGCAATTCTGGAACCATCATAATACTTGACTTCAAATTATACTGCAGAGCTGTAGTAACAAAAACTGATTGGTACTAGCATAAAAAGAGGTACATAGGCCAAAGTTACAGAATAGAAGACACAAAACAAACTCAAGTGAATACAGTAATCTGTTGACAAAGATATAAAAAATATACTCTAGAGAAAAGAAATCCTTTTTAGCAAGTGGTGCTGGGAAAACTGATTATCAATATGTACAGGAATGAAAATAGACCCCATCCCTCACCCTGCACAAAAGTCAATTCAAAATGGATCATTGACTTAGGAATTAGACATGAAACACCTAGAGAAAAATGTAAGGCCAACATTCCAAATATAGTAACAGGCAATGACTTTCTTACCAGGAGGCCTAAAATTCAGAAAATAATGTCAAGCATCAATAAATGGGATGATACCAAATTAAAAAGTCTCTGCACAGGAAAGGTAACAATTAAGAATATGGAAAGAGAACATACAGAATGAGAGAATATCTTTAATAGTTACTTTTTTGACAGAGGATTAATATCCAGAATAAATACTCAAAAATTTGTACTCAAAAAACAGTACACTAATAAATAAAATAAATAACCTAATTAATAAATGAGCAAATGAACTAAACAAACACTTTTCCAAAGAAGAAATACAAATGGCCAACAAATACATGAAAAAGTGTTCAGTGTCCTTAGCAATTAGGGAAATGCAAATCAAAACTAACCTGAAATTTCATCTCACTCCAGTCAGAATGGTAGCCAATAAGAATACAAAGAAAAATAAACACTGGGGAGAAGGTGAAGAAAAAGGAACCCTTTTACATTGTTGGTGGGATTGTAAGTTAATGCAACTAGTATGGAAATAAGTATGGAGATTCCTCAAAAGACTAGAGTTGAAACCACCATATGACCCAGCTGCACCATTCCTCGGTATAGATCCTACGGAATTAAAGTCATTGTACTATAGCTATACATGGGTAACCATGTTTCTAGCAGCAAAATTCACAATAGAATCAGCCTAGGAGCTCATTAATGGATGAATAAATAAGGAAAATGTGGTATATATACACAATGGAGTTTTATTTCAGCCATAAAGAAAAATGAAGTTAGGTTATTTGCAGGAAAATGGATGGACTAGAGACCATTACACTAGGCAAAAATAAATCAAACTGTAAGTTTTCTCTCATATGTGGGAGCTAGAGAGAAAAAAGAAAGAAAGTGTGTGTGGAGAGCGGGGGATCTCATGGAAAAGGACCAGGCAGAGGCAGGAGGGAGGGAAAGGGGAAATACTGTAAAATGATATAGGTCAAATCATATTTTATATTGTGTGCATGTACAAATATGTAACAACAAATACCACCATTATGTACAACTATAATGCACCAATAAAAATATAGAATATTAATTTTCCTATACACAAAATGTCTTATTTCTCTTGTCTTCCTTCTGTCTGTAGCTTTCTTGGCTGTTTGACAGAAAATTTAATATGTAAAATGGAACTGGAACAGTAAGTTTAAGTTATTTGGAGGTAATTTAATATGGACCTTAATGCAATTTTATAGAGATGTAAAAATGCAAAACTTAAGTGTCATATTAAATTGCTATTTTTTTCCCTAAACTGCCCCCCCTCATCTGTAACTTTTAAACCAGAAGAGCCAGGCTTATATTTATCAAAACTCTATACAAATACCAAATACATGCATTAAATTATAATTTTTAAAATAGCAGAGAATTGGCTGGGGTTGTAGCTCAGTGGTAGAGGGCTTACCTAGCACATGTGAGGCACTAGGTTTGATCCCCAGCACCATGATTAAAACAAACAAACAAACATAAACGACAACGGAAAAAAAATTAACAAACAAAATAAAGGATAAAAAAAAATACCAGAGAACTTTCAAACAGGTGTAAATACCCAACTTCATAAAAGGCCATGTTTCAAAATCAGGATACTTTATTGTTATGTAGCAAATAAATCCCAAGGCCTTTTCTTAAGATCAATTCATAACTCTGCTTTGGAAACTGCTCATCAAGTTTCCATGTATGAAATGGTATAAAATAAGCTAGGTTTTGTTTAATATTAATTCTTAGCTTTCTTTATAGTAAGAAAAGTATGCGGAAGCCCCTCTTGAAATGTATTGAATTTGAAGTGGCTACTGGTATGTAAGAGGCATTTTTTTAAACTGCACAGTATTGCCAATGTTTGATTGTTTGGAACTTCCAAAAAAAGGCAGTTTGGTGCAGGTCAACCTAATCTATGCCAATGTTTTAAAATAAAATCTAATAGAACTTTCATTGGGATTCAGTTGTTTTATATCTGTACTTCCTAATATGATAGCCACTAGCCAGCACATGAAATATGGCTAAGATGGCAGAAGGGTTGAATTTTTAATTCTGTTTAATTTTCATTAATAGAAAATTTAAGTAATTCTTAAATTTTATGAGACAAAAAATAGAAATATGAATCAGAATTGTCCATACCAATATGAACTAGAATGTTTAAGACAATGAATGCAATAATATATCAACAGCAAACTTGTCAAAAAGAAAAAAAAGGAAAAAAGAAAAGACTATTGACATTCCTACTTTGAAGAAGGGTAAACTGAGGCAGAGTAGCACTGCATAATTTGCTTTTGTTCATTCACATTTGGAGAGAGATGACATTGGCTCTTAAGGTCAGCAGGGGTCAGTCAGATCATCAAAGATAAAGCAAGAAAAAAAGATGTGTACAACCAAATTTTCAGAACCTGTAAATGAATATTACCTTATATAGCAGATGGGACTTTGCAGGAACAATTAAGTTAAGGATGCTGCCTTAGGGAGATTTTCCAGGTAGATGCAATAGATAAGGGTCTACCCATAAGAGGCCTTGTAAGTGGAAGATGGAGGCAGAAGAGAAAGAACTAATGATGGCAGCATAAGAGAGACTTGCTCAAGTGGATTTGAAGATGGGACAAGGCAAGGAATGTAATCGACCTCCAGAAGATGGAAGAGGTCAGGAAATCGAGTCTTTCCCAGAGACTTTAGAAGATGACAGCCTTGTGGATTTTTTTCCCCCAGTGAACCCCATTTCTGACTTCTCATCACTGGCATTGTAAGATAAAAAATTGTGTTGTTTTAAACCATTGAGTTTGTAATAATTGGTTACAAAAGGAACAGGAAACTAAGAAAGAACTAGTTCAGCAAAAGTGGGAAAACGAGTTCCAGGTTGCTTTAATACAACAAAAAAGAGAGAGAGGCAATTGATGTAAATATAACAGTTGTAGTAGAAATGGAAAGTCCAAGTGGATCTGCACGTGAGGAAATCAG